TCGTAGCTAAGGAACAAATTAGAAGGATCCAGAGAAGAAGAACATCCACCCCACTTGCAAATGGAAGACCTCATTATTGGTTGGAAGAAGTCAAAACAGACAGAGACGTAATGGTGATGATGCACGAATCCGATGAAATTGTTTTTACGGTTGTAATTTCTTAGATATTTTATCGTGTTGTTGATGTTATATTTACATGTTGTATTTGTTGTTGTTTTAGTCGTGATGTGTTTTTATTTTTTGCTTGAGTATGATTTGTTGTAACAAATGCTCTTAATGAAAGAAATTTTCGTTTAGATCTTTAAAAAGTGCAGATAGTTTGCATACAGTATTTATGTCGTCGAGCTAGTCGCACGAGTGTGATAACTTTTTCGATTGTGTCCTACCCGGCGATATAAACCACACTTTCTTTCTAGCTTGTCAAGGGAGTCCATTTCAGTTGTGATACACTTGCTTTTGGGACGATCCTTTTTATTCCTCCGCATTTGATCATTGTGCCAAACTATTTCCCCTTTGTGTGCAGGCCAATAATCCGATTTCGCTACCACTGGAAAGTCATTGTTGTATATGCTGAGCAAGGTCTCGGCCTTGTAAATGGGAGATAGAAGTAGTAATGTATCTTGATGAGCATACATACATGCTGCAATAACGTGATAGCAAGGCATATGAAAGGCTTGAAACTTTCCACAATCGCACCAACGAGATGGTAGTATGACTCTTGTCTTGGTAGCCCCTCGTTGTGGTAGATTGTCTATTTGACAATGAAGTTATGGTTATGCCTGTCAAACCTTATAACAAGATGGGTGTTGGCTTTGTCACTTTCTGCCTAAATAAATTTCATGCAACTTTCACTTCATAGTTGTCCCGATTGTAACACTGTGTTCCATATTTCAACTCCTTTTGCAAACAATGAAGCCATCCTAAAATATGTTGATTTCACCAAAGCACTTACTGGGAGGTTTCATATGCCTTTGAATATATCGTTCATTGATTCAATGAGATTTGCTGTCATGTGGCCCCATTGTTGTCCATTGTCATGTGACCTCGTCCGTTTCTCCACTGAAATATTATCAACCCACCTACATGGATCCAGATTTGATAATCTGATCTCATTGCGATAGTGTTTGAGCGAAGGTTGTGTTAATGCATATCCCGCGTTCATAACTGTTTTCTGAAGAGCTCTGTCTTTGATCTCCCGCGTAAAATTTTGTACAATATGTCTAACGCAATAGACATGTGTAAAAGAGGGATCATGCCAACCATTTGCAAGATTATTGTATGCACTCTCAATAGAAGTATGTATGTCAGAGATTAAGCAGAGACCAGGTTATAGAGCCACGTGTGTTCAGAGATTCTTGAGAAAGAAACTCCAAGTACCACCAGTCTCTCCCTCGACTATAGCAAAGGCAATTGGGAAAATGTTATTGACCCACACACACAATGAGCACAATCATACACCACACAATGACAACCCCAACAACAAATCTAACATACATCAATCTCCCACCAAACACAACGACGATACTGATCCACCAGCACTCAACCCCAAACTCAAGACCAATACCAATATACACGCATGCCCCACACACAATCACAATACAAAGAACAATGACCATACATCCGACATCCTGATGTAGGCCCCTCGTCATCTCACCTTAGCCCAGACATTGGCCTACCTGAAGAATATTCACCAACCAACCCAACTTACCATCAACCATCCTATCACCAGAGCACCCAACAATCACAGTACCAAACCCCACAAGATTCATTTCCTTTTTACCCCCTTATTTAGACGACTAGTGCTATCGACCCCCCATGAAACCTCACCCCTAACCAATACGACCAAACTTTGAGGGCATGGGTAACCGACTGTTTGAAAGTGAACCTTCTGGATATGATGATCTGACGACTTTCATGGATGCTGAACGCATTGACTTCGCAGGGTCCTCGATCCAACCGCAACAGGAAATACGTCAAAACACATCATGAGTTAGGCGAGGACGCGGGTGCGGAACCACAAGTCGTTATCGAGTCCCTGAAGACAACTAAATAATGTGTAATCTTTATTCTCATTATGTATCGTTTAATTATTATTGAAAATCAACTTTCATTTGCAACGACATTGCCTTTTATTTCTTTTAAAAAATTTTTTGTATCTAGGCGCCATCTGAGATGGCTTAGAGCAAATGACATCCACATAGGCGTTATCTCACTCGGTGTCTCCTTTAAAAAAATCAATGCATGCGCCATATAAGATAATTACTGCATTATAATGTTTTTTGAAACATGATTATTTACGTAATTTCCTTCAAAATATGATTATTTATATTTTTTTTTAAACATAATTATTGTTAAAAAAATTCACAATAACGCTGATAATTAATGCAAAATTAATGCAATAAACGTTTCTCATTCAACCTTTCCTATACTCTCTTCCATTGTGCTATATTTTTCATTTATTTTCCTCATTTTTTCTGTTCGAAATTTATGGAATTGATGTTTTAGATTATATATTATAATGTTCGTAAAGTTATTTCCCATAAGTACTCATTAATCTCTTGAACCTCTTTTTAAAAACTAAACGTAACTAAAAACACATAAAATTAAATAGTATATATATCTCGTATGAATGATGTCTATGGTTTATGAATATACATCATTTTATCATAAGAAACTAGTGTGTATGTTTATTTTCTTTTGAAAAGAAAGTCAATTTCAAAACAATTGACGAGAAATATATTGTTGTTTGGCCAGGTTGCATAATGAACCACTAGCAGTTTTAGTCCCAAAATATATCAATTATATTAGTCTCAAAATAAACAAACACAAAGTTATGACCTCCATAATTTTGTTTGTTCTCTAGCTAAGTTTTGAACTTTGGATAATCAGGTTTCTTAGAGCATCTCCAATGGTGCAACCTATTATTTGGTTCTTTGTGGGACCCATTGATCCACATCATCTTGAAGCAACTCTATTCAATTTTCACTCCAATGGTGTAATTCTAAAGAACTTATATTGGGTCTTACAATTTTACTTTGTATATTAATATTTTATTCATACTAAATTTTATTTGATTTAAAATAATAACCTAAATTATTTAAATTAAATTAATATAAAATAAATAAAATTAAACATAAAATATTAAAATAATAATTAAAATTAATCTCAAATACATGACATATAATTAAAAATAATAAAAATAATAAAAATAATAAAAATATAATTAAAAACAATAAAAATAAGTTACATAACAAAATTACTCAAATTTAATTTTCATCGTCCTCATGTCCAAAACGTTCCCAAATATACTCGACTAGATCTCCTTGAAGTTTGCGATGAACTTGTTTTTCACGAAGAGTTGCTCTGTTTGCGATGAACTTGTTTTTCACGAAGAGTTGCTCTTCTTTGTAGTCTTGTTGCAAGATTCGGATGAGGACCGTTAAATGTTTCAGTCGTTGAGTTGTTGTTACCTGCATTATCGTAAGAGTAATCAAAATCACCTCCATATGTATGTCGTTCGTCTTCGACAATCATGTTGTGCAATATGATGCAAGCATATATGGTATGCTTGAGGGTTTCCATGTGCCAAGCACGCACTGGACCACGTATTATTGCAAAACGAGATTGAAGCACTCCAAATGCCCGTTCCACATCCTTTCTAGCTGATTCTTGGTGTTGTGCAAATAGTTTTCTCTTTTCTCCTTGTGGCATCGAAATGGTTTTGACAAATGTAGCCCACTCAGGATATATACCATCCGCTAAATAATACCCCATATTATATGGAGTTCCATTGATTATATATTGCACACTAGCAGCACGTCCTTCCAAAATATCATTAAACACATTGGATTGGTTTAACACATTAATGTCATTGTTTGAACCTGCAACACCAAAAAATGCATGCCAAATCCACAGGTCTTGCGATGTCACTGCTTCAAGCATGATCGTGGGTTTACCATGATCACCTCGACAAAATTGTCCTTTCCATGCAACAGGACAATTCTTCCATTCCCAATGCATACAATCAATGGAACCTAGCATGCCTGGGAATCCACGCGACTCCCCCATTTGTAAAAGATGTTTAACATCATTGTTATTAGGCCTTCGCAAATACTCGGCCCCAAATACCTCATTCACGCACCTTACGAATCTCTCTAAGCACTCAATTGCAGTGCTTTTACCAATTCGAACATATTCGTCTACAATGTCAGCAGAAGATCCATATGCTAACATTCGAATAGCAGAAGTGCACTTCTGCAATGGTGAAAGACCCATTTTACCAGTTGCATCGACCCTCATTTGAAAATATTCATCATGATTTCCAAGGGTTTCTACAATTCGAAGAAATAAATGCCTATGCATTCTAAACCTTCTACGAAATTGGGAATCTGTGTATACTGGATTTTCTGAGAAGTAGTCGTTGACTAATCGTATATGCCCTTCTTCGCGATTCCAATTTATCATTGATCTTCTTTTTTTCCTTGATGAACTTCCAGATTGACGTTCCTTCTCGAGCATTGACAACAATAGTTCTTCATCTGTGTTGTCCATTAGTTCTTCTTCAATCACCTCCCAAAAAAGTTTGTTGAGGTTGTTTGAAGTGTTTGAATCCATTGAAGTGAGGGAATGGTGATATAAAAATGATAAAAGAATGAGAGAAGGATGGTAGGAAAATGATTGAAGAATGAGAGAGGGTGATAGAAAAGTGATTAAAGAATGAAGGTATATATAAGGCTAGTTTGAATAATATTTAATTTGAATAACGGCTAGTTTGAATAATATTTAATTTGAATAACGGCTAGTTTGAATAACGGCTAGTTTGAATAATATTTAATTTGAATAACGGCTAGTTTGAATAATATTTAATTTGAATAACGGCTAGTTTGAATAATATTTGAAATAAAATAAATACTAAAATGTTGCATCTTATTACAATAGTTGATACATAACAAGTACTACATAATATTTAAATATAATAAATACTAGAACATTGCATATTATTACCATCCATATTTTTCTTTTAGGTTATTACACCGTTTTTCATGAAATTCACGCTGACTATCATTCATCTTAGAAGTGTCTGACATTATGAATTGCATTGCTTCAAACTCCATCTTTTCCTTTATTAATTTGTTTTCTTCCTCCTTAAGTCGTGCTTCAGACTCCATCTTTTCCTTGACTAATTTGTTTTCTTCCTCCTTAAGCCGTGCTAGATTTTCCATTAAATTCATTCTTTTAGTCATTGTATCAGAATTAACACTAGAAGGAGGTTCAGTTGCATTTGTATTTTCCTTTGCCTTACCTTTTCGTTTTGCCGCCTTTTGTCCCATAGGACGCTCCATTGGAGATGATGAGTTAAACTCATAACTTGAAGGTGTCTCTGAGTTTGACGATGCCGTGTTGTTGGCTCCTAAATTCGACACCTTTGTTTTGATTGATGGCAACCATTAAAAGCTGAAAGATGCTTTCGACTGGCTAAGCCTGTCGAAGTGCCCGTCGAAAGATGGCAAAATACTTAGAAGATTTCTTCCAAGGAAGAAGGCTGATTGCCTTCGACGTCGAAGGAGTTTTCGTCAAAGACGTTTCTTGATGAAAGTGTTCGATGGTCCAGAGTGGAGCAGTTTGAAATTCAAAGCTTTGGGGGGAAAACGGTTTCCAGCAGTTACTACGTGCAAACGCGCAAGGATCTGGAGCGTCGAGCATGGAGAACGTGCCAAGTGGCTTAATCTCGAAGCAGTGTAACTGCCCGACGGTTACTTGGAATGTTTTAGTATAAATAGGAGTAGACATGTAGTTTCTCGGGGGTGTTCACAAATAGATACATAGTCACTCATTTAGATTCAAGTACCCAGTGTGAGCGAAAGAATTGTTGAGAAATGTATGTGTGAAACACCAATTTTATCAATTAAAGTCATTTACTTTTCCAGTATTTTACTTGCTTTTCTCCTTTAAATTCCTGTCGAACCTTTACTTTAAAGCCTTGTTTATTTTACCAAGCCTTTCCTTTATGCAATTTACTTGAAACATTATACTTAAAGCCTTATCCACCTTAATCAAACTTCAAAATTAACCTATGTCCATAGGATCAATCTGATCGATCCTGCGAGTAACCAAATAAGTAACCATTTGGAGGATCAGCGGTTGTTTACCAAAACCCAAGGTAAACAAATTGGCACACCTGATGGGACTGTGTGTTGATTGTTGAAAAATAATCTCATCTTTTCGAGTTGTATGTTATTGAGGAGTGGTAGAATATACACTAACGATAACAATACTGCCAGAAGAAGGGAAGAGATGGCGAATCCGCCAAACAATAATGAAATCCCACAAACGAGTGTGGGAGCAACGGTTAATATGACCGTGAGTGAAGCAACGAATGTTGGTTCGACACCAGCAGTGTCAGTCACAACCACGGGGCCAATAACTTCGTTTTCAGGCCCCAGAATACCTTTGGGAACTCCCCCTTCAAGGGGAAATATAGGCACAAGGCCTGTGGTTCCCCCAGGATTTATTCCATTCTATGGTATGCCAACTTCTGAAGTGGCAAGCCTGACGAATGCTGCGTCCACTTATTCAGACCCTTTCGTGAGTGCCTCTTCGCCACTCCAAGGCTCTGGAGTAGGCATGGCGAATAGAAATAGGACCCAACTCTTAGGAGGAACGTCCCAAGTAGCCCATGGCCTTACAAATGCCTCGACAGCAGTCTTGAGGCAACAGATGGACGAAAGCAACCATGATATGGTGCAAATGTTGGCACAAACTTTGAGTACAGTGCTAAATCCTCTAATACAAAATACTACTCAATCGAATCAGCAAGTTACAGCGCAAATGACGCGTTTGGCTGACTTCTTTGGAGTACCCCCACCTATGCGACAACCCCAAAGGGCGCAAACAAGAGGAAATCAGGGGATATTTGTAGAGGAAGAAACCACCATTAATCAGGCTCAACAGCCTGTAGAACAACCTGTCGAAGAACCTAGGGTAATAGCCCCAGAGGTAAGGTTAGTTAACAGAAACCAAAATGCTGACGAAGTGGTTCAGCATATCCAACACCAAAACATGGGTTTGGAAAATAATCTGGCAACCATGATCGAAAGGATCATGAATCAGAATGGGATGAACATGGGCTTTCGAAGGCCCAACTTTACATCTCCATTGTCAGAATACGTATTACAAACGGATTTACCTCCTAGGAGCAAAGTCCCCAAATTTACTAAGTTCTCTGGGGACACGACAGAATCTACTGTCGAACATGTGGCGAGGTATTTGATCGAAGCAGGAGACATTTCAAATAATGAAAACCTAAGGATCAAATACTTCCCAAGTTCCTTAACCAAGAACGCTTTTACTTGGTTCACAACTCTACCCCCCAATTCGATCCACCATTGGACCCAGTTGGAAAGATTGTTCCATGAACAATTCTATATGGGGCAAACCAAGATAAGCCTGAAAGAACTGGCGAGTGTGAAGAGACGTTTCACTGAACCTATAGACGAATATCTGAATAGGTTTAGGTTGCTTAAGGCGAGATGTTTTACACAAGTGCCAGAACATGAGTTGGTCGAAATAGCCGCAGGCGGTTTAGATTATTCCATTAGGAAGAAGCTAGATACCCAGTACCTAAGAGACATGGCCCAACTGGCCGATAGAGTTCGACAGGTCGAACGCCTCAAAGCTGAAAAAGCTAAGGCAACGAAAACTCACAAAAGAGAGAGAATAGCGTACGTTGAGATGGACGACGACGATCTAGAATCCTTCGACGATACTTTAACTGTCGAAGAAGGAGAAGTCGATTTAGCAGAACTAAAACAAGGGCCACCATACTCTTGTAAACAGTTAGTCCCCTCAAATGGGAAAAATCCCATTGGTCCAGACAGGACCAACGATAGGTTCCCAAAAAAGACTTATAGTTTTGACATCACAAAATGTGATGAAATATTCGACTTGCTAGTTAAAGATGGCCAAATGATAGTACCCCCTGGGGTAAAAGTGCCTCCTCTTGATCAAAGAAAGAAGAGAGGTTTTTGCAAATATCATAATTTTTTGGGCCATAAAACTTCTCAATGTTTTCTTTTCAGGAATCTTGTGCAAGACGCTATTGAGGAAGGGAGATTAAAGTTTGCTGACAAATCCCCCATGGCTGTCGACTCCAATCCACTAAAGGCTGAAGCCCACTACGCAGAACCCTCTGAAGTGAACATGATAGAGGCGACCAACATCCCGTCAAAGAAGCCAGGAATTACCATGGTCGAAGTCTCAAAGGACCACATCAACATGCCAATCTTTGGCAGTTTTTCTGGAAATTTATCCAGGAAGACAATTGAGGCTGTCCAGAAAGCGGTCGAAGACCCGAAGTCGAAGACTGCTGAAGCACAAAAAACTGGACCAAAGCCCAGTTCCCACTTGGCCACTGTTCAAGGCCAGACGGAGAATCTGGAGACACAAATGAGGCAACTAACTCTTGCTAATAAGGATACAATGAATATCAACATGGTTGAACTTTCTGACCCTAAAGCTTCAGAAGAAGCCATAAGGCAAGAGCAGGCAAATAAAACGGCTTTCCCTAGGGAAAACGAAAACTTGGCAGATTTTTTACAAAGATGCCAGAAGAAGAAATCAGAGGTGATGCTATGTCCAAGATGCAGTTCTATCTTTGATAAAAAAGCTGCTGAGCACATACAAGGCGTAAGAGCAGCGAACAAGAGAAGGGAGAATGCTGACCTTCGACATGATCCCAGGAGGGGTTCTAATCAAGACAAGAGGCCATTGACTTTTAGGCCTCCAACAAATGTACCAGTAGACACTTGGTACAAAACATCTGGCCGGAAAAGGCCAAGTGAAGAGAAATGGCATTCTTTCGATGTGCCAAGAGGTTCCTCTTTAATTCAGAAGAAAGAGCCTCAAGTTGCTGCACCCAAGGTTGCTCAAGTGTCCAGCAACTACAAGGGAAAAAATCCTATGTCGCGATCCCAATGGAGGAGATATCAAAGAAGGCGAAAAGCTGAAAGGGAGGCTGCCAACGAACCTAAGGCAGAAACTAGTTCGAATGTGCCTCAAAGGAAACAAAGAAAGCCTCTTGAGAGAGAACCAGTTACCAACAGGCTAGTTTGGCCTAACCAAAGTGAAGTCGAAGACGAAGATGATGCTGAGTCCGACGATACTCTGGATATAATGGTGAATATTGTTTCAGTACTGCCTAGGGAATTCAATCGACAGGTAGAAGTCGAAGCCAGTGACTGGGAGGTGGAACAAGAAATGGCCAAACATAGGCCAGTGTGCTATTTTGTCATGGACAATGGCACTACAGAGGAACAAAATGGCTTCTTCGAGCCACCTACAGAGGCGATGAAGAATCACCTCAAACCTTTGTTCATAAGGGCTAAGCTCGAAGAGACCACTGTGAACAAAATATTGGTCGACTGTGGGGCCACTATCAATATTATCCCTCATTCTATGCTAAGGAAGATTGGCAAAAGGGATGAAGAAATCAAACCTCACAATATGGTCCTGTCCAACTATGAGGGAGGCATTGGGACCACCATGGGAGTGATCCAGCTAGACATAAAAGTTGGGTCGATCCTTCGACCAACAATGTTCATGGTCATATCGGCCAAACCTAACTACAACCTTTTGTTAGGCCGTGAGTGGATTCATGGTGTTGGCGCTGTGCCTTCATCGATGCATCAAAGACTGCTGCTATGGCGTCCAGATGGGATGGTCGAAAACATAGAGGCGGATCAAAGTTACTACCTTGGCGAAGTGAATCACTTGGGTGTAACAGATTTCGACAAAAACTTGGCTCACATAGGGCCATGTCCAACTCCTGACTTCGACATGGCGCTAGCGCCAAACACCTTTTGTTCCCTATACCTGCATCCTGAGCATGGTTTCCAATGGGACAGAGAAGACTTGTCCCACATAGACTTCAGTGGGCTAACTGATATCCAACCAACTGGTTGGGGAAGTGAATTCAGTGATAATGACTGAGTCACAATCTCTGAAGCGAATTTCGGCTTATGTGGCCGAAACCAAGATGATAACGGCTCTCGAAGCCGAAGTAAAGTACATGGCCACACAGGCCAATGGTCAACAATTATCTGCTGTTGGCCCAGGAAAGGATTTCGATCCAAGACCTCCTGATATCATGCCAGATGAAATGCAGGAACAGAGGCTCGACGCCATATATGACGATGAGCCTTTGGGCTTCGAAAAGGATCCCTTGGCGAACAACATTAAGATGTTAGCACAAGACCCTTTAGAAGAAATCAACTTAGGCGAAGGATCAGAGAATAGGCCAACTTACATCAGCGCCAAAATTGATCCAGAACTTAGGTTGGAAGTA